TCATAAATTGTTGTGGAGACGAAGGGAAATTGGCATTTGCCAAGCCTCCAGAAAGTTTGGAATTAAAAGGAAATTTTGGACTTGTTCGTCGTGAAGCTCAGGTCTACGTACAGGGTCGGGCAGTCGACTGCACGGTTTTAATTATTAAATAAACACAGAAACAGTGTTTCTGTCATATATTGCAACAAATCTCAAGACCATAAATGGTAATTCGAGTTCGAAAAGAAAAAATGTTCATTTTTTGAGGCAGTCAAAGCGCACGATTAACAAAGCTGGTAGAGTGGAGGGCTGTGTAGTGAGGGAAGTAGGCTGTGACCCAGACATGGACGAATTATCTCCATTTACCCAATACTTGTACTCAGTTTCAGATATTTATAAACGTGTGTGTAAGTCTTACCAGTCGACGTAGACTTTTACGTTGTCGTAGTTGGGATGAAGAAGACGAGAAAATTCAGGAATATAGATTCGGTCAATGAAAATCGAAACTGTACGGCTTTCGTCCGAGTCGGAAATATCCTTAAACGCAGCAAAGTTAAAGCTAAATACNAGCTCAACCATACATAAGTTTGTCAGCCGGATCTAACTGTAAGGCGAAAGAGGGGATCCCGATATGTAGAAACAAAAAAAGTCGGAGATGAATTTGCTGATATTCAGAGGGATTATGCTAGGTTCCGTTCAATGCCCTTGTGTAAACGTTTTTGCTTACAAAAGGGCCAATTAGATATCTGAGCTTACGATATTGCCTGGCCAGCTCAAAATGCTGCAAACGGAGCATATAGTAAACCTGCTCCTATCGCTTGATAGGCAGCTAGCCAGTCGAACTTCTCAATCAGTTTGCCCTTGACTACCAAGGATGGCAATTGACATGAAAACAGCAAACCTCCTCTTGATGATTCTCTTTTCTAGCTCTGATAGCACTTCTGCCCCCACTGGCAGGAAGCCTAACTGCTGGTTTTGGAGGCGGAGATGAAGCTGAAGACGACTCGCTTGCTGGAATGCTTCTTGTAATTCGTGATATATACAGAACTGGATAGAAACTATAGAGAAACTCAATCCTCGATAGCATGACTGGCATTTTTAGAATGCCAGAAGCTCTAAAGAATTCGGGAGTTTGTGTCAATGTGTCCCCCTAGAAACTCACGAGGAATCGATCTATGGAGTGGGTCCGTGAATGCAACACTTCGTTGCCTTTCAACAGTTGTGTCGTCACTTTTGACGCTTTCTCCACTACTGCTTGATGGCTGGCTTCCTTGTTTGGATTGGTTGACGAATGAAGAGAAACTCGAAAACTCCGATGGCGGCTGAAAACAATGTTTTTCGCAGGAGAACCATTCCTAAGCAGTTGCTACTCAGTGCTACTTGAGCAGCAGTGCAAAAGCGGTATGTAGGTGCATGAAGGTTTTGCTTAAACTGATTGGGTGGATAGCCGCCCCGAATCAGTAGATAAATATCACCCAAGCTCTTTCATACTTGAAAGAATATTCGCGGAACCAGGAAAAAGCATAACTCTTCTCCGTATGGCCAATGTTCGGGTAGCCTTCCATATCCTTCCTCTTGGAAAGAATTGGCATAGAGAAGAGGGACTAGGGCTTGAGGTAGTTGTCTACGGATTCCCCTCTTCGTCATTGTTTCTAGACTTTTTCTAGTCTAGCATGGAAGCTGTGGCTGAATGTTCATTTCCTAAATACGGTTTTGAGTTTTCGAAAGTAATGCAGAACCAGTGGTTACCGGAAAAGTGAGTTTATTGTTAGGTCGCTTGGGTAGTTGAGAGACAAGTAGATTTCTTCCGTTTTTTTAGAATTTTGGTAACCTCCCCACCTCCAACTCATCCACTTCACCTGTCGATACACCGAAAGAATGGACGGGCAATGCTCCTAGATCGCTTGTGGGAAGTGAATCCTATATTAAAACACATAGATACCTTTGTTAGTCTGGGCTTTGCGATTGGGGGAAGGTTTCCGAGAAGGCTCCTGATTTCGTCTTTGGCTTTCTCCTTCTCTGTCTCTTTTGTGTCTTCTGCCGAAGCATCTTCAACCGGCGTTTCGTCAACTACAAATAGAAAAATTACCACAAGAGTAAAGTGAAAAAGAGCCTTCAAAATAAGCAAGGAATTCACCCTGTTTCGTCGACTCCTGATCGGATTCTGTTGCAGAGAGCCTGGGAAGGTCTGCTGGGTAGGACGAGTTGTCTAGTGTAGTGGGAGATTGTTTCTCGTCTCCTCCCTGCGCTCCTTCCTCTGCCATACTGTCTGTGCTGGAAGCCGATCGTGCTGAGCTGCGTCTCACCGATACAGTCTCAATCCTGAACACAAAAAAATACAGCTGAAGTTGCGAGAGTCTTGCATTCCAACAGAACAAACTAAAAAACGCTTCGGGTGTTACCCACACGAAATGAAAGATTCGAAAAGGGAGAGATGAAATGGGTTAATAAAGGGAAGTTATAAAAAAAGATAAGAAGCAGACTTACACTTCTTGTTCCTTCGGAGCGCTATCCCTTTCGACGCTTTCAGCAACAGATGGTATTTTTGGGCTGAAGACGGAAACTGGTGAGTAGTCGTTTTCTAATGACGAACTGGAGGATCGGATGTTGTCTACTGAGATCTGCGACGGCATAGCCTTCTTCGGTTCCGTTGGCCTCTCCTAAATACACGCTCTTTTCCGAGTATATTTTCTTTCTGTCTTTCACAATTTGTTGTCATTTACAGTAGGTACGGGCACGTGGTGAAGGAGCTATATGGTGGAACATCTGAACTATATGGTAGAAACTCCGAACTATTGTTTTCACCACTGCCTTGGCTCAATGAGCTTTTTTAAATTCCTAAACAAAACAAAACAAAACAAAACAAACAAATCTAAGCACAAACAACAACGACAAACAACAAATCTTAAACAATCTAAGCTCCATCCCCTTCACCGATAACAGACTTGGAAAATGTTTCAGTGCGAACAAAATACATTCAGTAGCGCTCAAAAGTCTTCGGTAAAATGCTTTCACGCTTTTTCGGTCATAACTTTTTTGTTAGTAGACCGAATCGCGCAAAATTTGGTTATGTTTAACCAGAGCATATTTCACCCTACCCAACACTACTTGACTGCAAAGCTGCAATATCCACAGATAGAGCAAGGTGTTTGTTGCGGTAGCAGATTCTGCTAATACTAAAGTTGTTGACGTCTGCACCTACTCGCACCTTATGTGCGTTTTTCTCATCTATTGTGTTAGGCATTACCGCTCCTACACTTTAGACATGACAAAAAGGAAAGAGATTCCAAAAGGGCCATCATCTGTATTTTCAGTCGATTTTGAGTTCATGCTCTTTGGAATATCTGGAAAGTGATTAGATTGCAGGTTATTAGTGGTAATTATCCACAGTACACCCATGCTACACATATTGAAATTTCGCATGATTAGATCCAGTAGGAAAGGAGATACGACTGAAAAGTTCGGCTGAAGACCCATTTCACCGAAAACTTTTGAGCGCTACTGTAGCTTGTGGCCCAGGTTCATCGATTAGGTTACTCGCTGGCCGATTCAGTTCAGAACCGGTCAACTAGAGAATAAAGGCTCAAGTCTATGGTGACGTCGAATTAGTAGCACATCATATGTTGGCAGCTAAACAGCTAAACCGAACAATAGGAGGCAGTATGTTGGGCCCTGACAGACTTCCCAACCCCACTGTTCGAACTTTGTCAAGCAGTTGAGTGCGCTTGTGGAGATGCTTTATGGTAACTGTACGATATAACCTAGAATATGTGCGCTCGTTAGCATGCCCTAACGACAATATAAAAATCATATAGTTTTTTAGAGTTTAATGTACTAAAGTAATAAACCATTACAAATTGGTCGCTGCTGAGCGTCTATTCCAGTTAAGGAGTCAATGACCAGTTGATCCTAGCATGATTTCTGAATAATTCGTCATCTGCCTTGTTGAAACTCTTATCTCTATGTACCTTCGCAATCAGATTGACCCAAAAGACACCTAACTCCCCTCTGACAATGTTCGCCACTCGCACTGGCATGTTGTAATGACTGAATCCAGAGGGATTCGGTATATTCTCCCCGAAAACGGCGTCGTTCGGCGTTCGCCGTACCTGATAGCGTGGAGTCGCGCGCTTTGAAGGGAAAGGTCTGAATTCCCAGTGCAAGGATAGGGTAGCCGCCGCGTGACCTTTGCCGCTTGCCGTGGGAATTCGGGGAGAAGTTTCGGCACCCAATTTAGAGAGATACAATACATCCGATTTACGCAAAAACACCAATTTGCCTTTTCCTTTTTCTTATAAGCCGGTTCAAAATTAGGTTTCCCGGAGATTGGGTATATCATTGAACTCAGACCACTGAGGCCTAGGAAGTCGAGGAAAGTTTTATTGTAAAGTTTAAAAAGTATTTCGTTCAAGTTCTGTAAGATTCATGTATGTAGCACAAAAAAAGGTCTTAGGAACGCATTGATAAGGGTTTCAAGATGAAAACTAGTGCCCTGCAGTATTTAGTGGCGGACTTGGTGAATACTGAAGAGCACGCGTATGCTTGTTCGCCAGAACATACATCGGAATGGGCGGTGCTGAGGAAGAACTTTCTAATTTGGTTTCAGAACAGCCTAGGCACCAGGAATAAATGAGCAAACGGCAGGAATGGGTCAATGAAAAAGGAGGGCCTACTCTTGTGGTAGCGTCCTGATTACTGTATGAAATCCTATTTCGATTCCATCACAACCTGATGGCAAAAAGCTGTGAAACTGATGAAAGTTTAATGTGTGATAGGCATACCTGATCTAGGGGAGTCCCGCCTACATGGGTGCGGCCTGTTCTCATTGAGGGGAGGTGTAAATGAAAAAAGCACGACTGTGGTAAGCAAGTAGTGCGCAGCGGATGCTAAGACTAGAGTTCCATTGATGTTTCATCCCGCTCTGGCAGTCAAATAGAAGTTTTGTGAACTCCCTGTCAACAACGAGGGAGCTTTAAAAACACTCATAAAGTGTTGAAAAGTTTAGAAGTACCGATGATTACCTAAAAAAAGTTGAAGAAGAAAGCCCGTAATCGTACCTCGGCTGGTGGACTAGCCACTGCTTTCTGAGTTTCTCCTCCTGAAGAGGCTTTCTTAGACGTAACTTGGCTGAGAGCAAATTTCCACATAATAGTCACATCCAAGTATACGCCACAATCTGAGCCGTCAGCCTAAATTATGATTTCCACTGGTGATTCAGAGCTGCCGATAAGAGGGGAAGATATGGAAAGGGGAAACAGAGATTGGATAGGCAGATTCCGGAATCCAAATTCGGTAAATCTGTTGAATCAGAACAGAGTAAGGCAACCGGAAAATATCCTTGGAAAGAACAGAATCATGTCCTGGAAATCCAATTTTATCAGCATGAACATTTCAGAAGTGTACCTACAGGTCCAACAAGTCTTTGTGAGACTTCAAGTAATGCAAGGAAACCGAATGTTTTAAATTGACGTATTTTGGTTCACACTGCTTTGATCGTTTAAGGTAATAAAAAATTGGTTTGAAGGGTTCGGTAAAAACTCCAACTGACCTTAACCATTTCGAATGATCCTTTGATGGCTTTGTTTTCTCGAAGAGGCGACAATGGCAAAGAAAGCATTGACAGGACTCCTTCGTTATCTTCTCCACCTCCTACTCGATTTTCAAAAAGGAAAAATGTGATTTCCTAAAGATGGCCGGTCAAATTCTCCATTGTTTGAAAAGACTGTGCTTTGATAGATACCATTTCGGTCAGGTAGGACTGTAAATTTTCAGAAGGCAAACTCCAGTCGCGTTTAGAATTGAACTCAGCCGTTTTCGATGATGTCACATAGTTCGTGAAGTATGGCGAGAAGGAGAAGAACTCATAAATGACACACACCTCCAGCTCACCTGAAATTATGAGAATAATACTGGCAGAACAGAAAGATGAAGTATTGCAGGATTCTAAAATCTCCATACAAAAGTTAAAGAAGAAATAAACCAAAATCTGGATCAAAGGAGTTTTGGGGCAATCTTGCAATTTAAAGTACAATAGAATGCCAAACACTGACCTCTCCTTAGATTTTCGAGGCCAGTACATCTGTGCACCATCACGGTGAGCTCTTCGAACGAACGGCTGTCGAGAGGAATTTCTATAGGGAGCACTTTTTGTGCCGCTTCGGCTTTCTGAAAAACAGAGGGCCGAAGCTATTACGCTTTTGAGATAGATTTGAGATTTTGTAATAAATTTCTAAAACTCTAACATTTTTCAGATGGTAGGAGTATTGATGAAGTTATTACTAGACGGTATAAGATATCTTTCTTACCTGGAAACTTGTTATCGCCTTTCCTAACTGCTCTGTTGTATTCAGTTCATAGTTGAGTATCGCAACAGTCGCACCCGACTCCAGCGAGATCAGCTTCAACTCGCCCACAAAGCGACTTTTTGCTCCTTTCTGTAGAAAAATACAAGTATTTCTGGGGAACTAAACATTCAACAGCTTATTTCAGAATATAATATCTCTTTAGGGCGGAGGTGGTGTAGTGGCAAGCGGCGCACTATATCACACGCACGGTCAGGGGTTCGAATCACGGATCGATGCCCGCCAAGGCCAACCAAGCCTTCCATCCCTCCGGGGTCGGTGAATTGGTACCAGACTCTGGGAGGATAAAAGCACTGACTTGTACATTGGCTGGCTACCGCAAGTCATTGTATTAGGCCNCAAGTCATTGTATTAGGCCACATACGCACTCATTACGCCACTACGACTCTGAATGGAAGTCGAGTGCGGGGGCGCATCCCTCAGACGGGATTGATTAACGCCAAAAACTTTATCCTTTAAACTTTATTATACACCTTTACTAGTGGGAGAGATATCTACTGGTCTCCAGGAAGAGGAATGCTCCCACTTTGTTTGGGAGCAACTAATAATAAAGGGTAAAGTTTTGGGGCGCTATTCAATCCGAGGGATGTCCCACGCACTCGATTTCCATTCAGAATCGTAGTGGCGTAATGAGTGCAGTGCGTATGTGGCCTATACAGTGACTCGCGGTGGCCAGTCGGTGTACATGTCAGTGCTTTTATCCTCCCAGACGAGTTTGGTATCAATCAACCGACCCCGAAGGGGTGGAAGATTTGGTTGGCCTAGGCGATCCGTTACTACACGTACTATTTGCAAATGTGTGCCCTCAAAGCAATAGATAAGAACCACTGATGTGGGAGTTATTATTTGTGTCAAATATTTCCACGTCAGCTTACGCAGCTGAATGACCTCAAAAAGAAGAATTTTGTCAGAATGACATTGGCCAGGAGATAACATTGTTGCCAGGGCACTTTGTGAAAAGCTTTAAGAGCAAACCTGGAGGAGAGGCTTAAGGTTGACTACGCCAGCAGCCAGTAGCTTGTAGGCAGTATTTTGCGGAGAGTATAGTTCTATTGTGATGCCGTTCTGAAATTACTGTCATCAAAATCATAATCTCTCCAGAGCTCTTTCAATGCTCGTTCTTCATGTGATCAAAGTGAGCTCACCGTTTCTATATAGTGCACGAAAAGATTTGACACCACCACACTGTAGATTGTAGTGAAGTCAAGAGCGTTCGTCTGCTTCGTCAACATGGGCGTCGTTTGTAATTCGAAATCGAAGAATTCTAGAGACAAAAAGTATGCTGGGCACACCCCCACAGAAGCAACAAACTCGTCCGTGAGACTGATCGAGGTAAACATGATGGAAAGGTCCGTCGACAGCTCATTCTTAGCTTCCTAAAAGAAGAATGTGGTCCTGCAGGTTCTAATGGGGTCCACACTGTAACTCAATCACTCACGACAGGTCTGATCGGGATCGGTTTCTGGGTACCGTAAGCGATGGATCGGATCTGTTCCTCGAGTACAAGCACCTTCTTCTGTTTCTCAACGACTTTATCTCGCATTTCTTTCAGTTTCGTTTCATAGCGTACCTTCACAGCCTCCATCTCCTCTTGCAACAAATTTATCTGAATATCCATCACGGATTTAATCGTTCCAAATTCACGTCCAAGACTTATAGTGTTGCGCTTACCTCAGTTGTCTGCTTCTGATTGATGTTGTGTTGAATGAGGAGCATATTGCGAACCTTCTCCAGTTCGTCGTATAGGTCAGCGTACATCTTCTTCCATCTTTAAAAGTGGCAAAATACTTTGAGCTAAACAAAAAGGGCTCAAACTCGTTACGCCCAGGGAAGCTAGATCTTTTCACCCAATCCTGTCACCGTAGGCAGTTCGCAATGAAACGAAACAGAAAGCGTCTAACCATAAGACCTTTTCCAGTGCTGGCGTACTCCCAGTTGGTTCACCCCCAGCACGATTTTAGGGAGTACTCCAAGATCTTGGCTCTAATATCATTACGTTACGTTACCTCGTTACGTTCTCGAAAGAAACCCCTGAGCCATCGACGTTGCCGTGTTCGAGGCGATCGTCGTGAGATTCGAGAATCGCCGATACGTCGCGATAAAGTCGTTCCAGAATATCGTCATCATTTTTACTCTGAAATGAATTCCCTTTAAGCATTGAAGTAAGAGCTTCTTTGAACATTTGTCGCGTTTCATGGGCCATAGAAAAAGATAGAAAGTTGAGGTGAAAACACAAAATTATTCCGAGGAAAGGGTAACAATAACGCAATGGAGGGGAACACAGGAATGCTTACCTTCTTTCCTCGCTTGCTCTCTCTAGTTTCTTTTTTTGGTGGAGGCTCTAATTCGTCTGGAACTTCCTCGATTTTCCTAAAATTTACGTGTATTGAAAAATCGGTAACATTATCTCTCTTATTACTCAATAAGCGTAAGGATAGAGTCGTTCGCATTAATAGACCCGTTCGTGGTATACGTCCCGCGCTCGACACCCATTCAGAATCACCGTGACGTTTCGAATGCTCATGTTGCATATTCAAAAAATTGCGTTATGTAGTTGCCAGCCAATGGAAAAGTTAGTTTTCTCATTCGGGTCGAACACTCTGGTGTAAATCAATCGACCTCGAATTCATGAAAGGCACAGTTGCATAGACGAGTGTCTTTAGGGGATTCGAACCCTGGACCGTGCGTGCGTTCAGTGCGCCATATGCTGCGCAGAGATTGAAAGAGTAGGGGAGGTAAGGGAACCTCATCTTAGCCGCACTGCGACCTTCTCTGGAAGGCGTGAAAGAAAGCTCCCATCAGTATGAACAAAATGCCAACCACTAACGTGTGCTCCTTCTGATGCGCCTTCTCCGCCTTCTGCATTTTCTTCAACTTTTGTCTCTCCGACTTCAACTTCTGCTCGGCTCGTAACCGTCTCTGCTCAGTGTCCTTTATCCTTTCTTCAAGTACCGTGATCTGCTTTCTCAGTTCGATCTGCTCTTTTGCACTTTCATCGAATTCTACGGACAATGACCTAAATGCTTTCTATTTCATAAGATTCAACAGCTGATCAATATAAGTAACGAACAAGTAACGAACTGTTTCACGAGTCGTTCATTTGCCTCCTTGAGCACCTCGTTTTCTGCTTGAATTACCGCTAGTTGCTTGGTGATGAGCTCGATTCTTCCAACATACTGACTGTCGTCACTCTTCTCCAGTGCGCTCCGTGCTTCGGCCTCCAGCTCGCGCACCGTGGATGTCTTCTGTTCCAATTGGGCACGAAGATCAGCAACTAGCTTGAATCATTATCAATTTTTTTGGAAAAGAGTTCTATCTAGACCCTTTGATTTCCTCGAACAAATTCGCGAAATTACTTTCTTTTCTTATCTAACCCGCAACATTTGAGCTGCAGCCTGCGGAAACTAACGAACCCCATTGAGTCGTTCGATTTCATACTGCAGCTCCGCGACTTGACTGTTCTTCTCTCTAACGAGTCGATTCAGGCGAATGTATGCGGCTTTATCCTTCAAAGAACTCTCACTTATACGGGCAGGTGGTGTTCTGAATTGAAGACAATTAACTTTTTTATTCTGAGGTTATGAAGTTTAGGTGAGCGCTACCTTGTTCTCTCACTAGGCTGTTCTGTCCTGGCCGTTTTGTCAGCGGCAGTTGAAGCGGTTTGAGGTGGGCGACGAATAGTAGACGGCTGTGGACGGTACGTGCTTCGACCCTAAGGTGATTAAATAAGAACCAAGGTAGTTCTCAGAGCTGGTCCGAGGAGTTTAGTCAGAAAAAAATGTAATAAAGAGGATGCTCAGTGTCAGAGTTGCTAAATTGATATTAA